GAAAAGGAGGTCTCCCACCCTTGTACCACCTTCCTAACAATGAAACTAGGGTCTATACCAAAAATGAACCCTAACCGATGCAAAACGAGGGTTCGGGGGGCCAAAACGCGCAGCCGGGGCCCTAAAAACTGACTGTTAAGCGCCGGAAGTGGCGTGCAACCACGAAGGTGGTCTCCCGGACCACAGTGTCCCTCTAGGGAGAGGAAACAAGGTGTGTGCCAAAAACCGGAGCAAACGAAGGTAGTTAAGCGGTCCCGAACCGAGGCACGCGGCCGACGGCTCCGAAAATCGAGAACTGGTCTCCAAACAGGAAAAGGGGCCTACGACCACGAAACGTAGCCTACGGCCACTAAGAGATGGTCTATGAGACCTCTCCCTCCCTTCAGGAAGAGAAAAATAGAGAAAAGAGGACCTGGTTCGCAAACCGAGGCAAAGCACAAAAGAGCCCCGAAGTCCAGAGGCAAGGCTCTCAGCCTAGACTCCGCAACCTCAGAACGAGCACAATATGCAACATCACCGAGCACTCAACTGGTGACGTCTGAGTCTTAAGGTCGGTCAAAATGGGGTGTCTACAGTTGGCCCCATTCAGGGAAAGGCACAAACTTCGGATATTTGCATCCCAAAGTGTGAACTGAAGCCACATATTGTAAAACTAGGCATCCAGAACAACTAGCATTATAACCTCAACGTCTTACTGTTGGTTGTAAAAATATGTTTATAAATGCCATAATGACCTTGTTAAAGTCGATCAATTTCTATCTTTTCATGCTATGATAAACACAACAGACCCAATTCTAACTGGCTACCTAATAGCAAACTGGCATGACAATTAAACACAAATCAAGGCCTGCTACGAAACCTGAGGATTACAAGTTTTTTCTCATCTTAGGGACAATTGAAATTAAGTACATTTTAGATTATTTTCCTCACTTTTAACTCAGTAATTAAAAGAGAGAAAATTCTGAAATAAAACTTCACTAATCTACAAATACAAAGCACAGAGTCTCAAAATGCTTAAAAAAAATCATTACCAAAAGATATTTGAGGTTGGTTGTGCTAATATCATCTTTCGTCTCGTTCAACGAAAACAGCCCTAATTTGCTTGTCATTTCCTCGCACTGTTGCAAAGCTTCACATCCCTTTCTCAGAGATTGCTACAAAGCCCCATAATCAACCAATCTAATCAGAGATTCATACACTAATATTTCCATCAATATATTCGTATATAGAGAGGGATTACCTGATCAATGCCAGATTCGGAAGCTGATCGATGAATCTTCCGAGCCTGATCGAACAGAGCAGGCAGAGACATCTCTTCCATCTTCAATTCGCCCATTGGTGATGTAATCGAAATGGAAAACCCTAGAAATTGAATCGAGGGATTGGAAGAGAGAATCCAGAGTCGAATTTCAAACTGTAGGTTAGGGTTTGGAGTTTTGAACTGAGAACAGTTGCGATGCCCAACAAAACAGGTGTGTACGTTAGTGTTTGTCCCTATTAGAAATGGGTAATGGATATCAATACAAGAGTATTTAGGCCATCTCGAACTTTAATTAAATCTATCACTAAATTTAAATTTGATAAAAATTAATTTTTTTTAACAATTTTATCAAATAGTTATTAAATCAAAAATTTTATTTTTCTTTTATCACACTGAAAATCAAGGTGTGTTTCATCAAATCACTATTTATTATCATTGCCAGATGTTCGCCTAGTCATCCCTTGGATGACCACCTGAAGGCAAAAATTTGTGAAAAATTACACTGATCGGTCGTCTGCTCGGTCAACCGGTAATTTGATAAAACTTTAAATGATATCAAATGAAGTTTTTACTCAAATTTAATAATATGAGAGTATTTGAAGGGATTCACATTCCATCATAGATTCTATTTTTATCTAAATCGTTTATTTTTTACAATTTATTAAGTGAAATATTTATGTAAAAAATTAAAATGTTCCGATATCGATAATTATATATTTAAATTAAATTTATATTACAAAAAATGAATAATTATTCTTGAAATTATATTTATCATTTATTTTTTAAAAATAAATATGATTTAAATATATATCTATCGATATTCAATTATCTTGAATTTTGTATGAATATTCTACTCAATGAGTCTAAAAAAGTAAACGGTTCGAATCATCGAAATTGATTTCAAAATGGACCTACCAAATTCAAATGCTCTCTTAAATTCAGATGCCACTTAGAGAAGCCAAACCCATTAAAAATATACAGCGCTAAAAGGTTGAAAAAATGGTAGAATAAAATTTCAAAAAAATGTTTTCTAATTTTTTTTTGAGAAAAAAGAAAATAATTTGATAAAAATAAATATTAAAAGATATTTTTAAAATTATTTTTTACCCCAAAAAGATTAAATTATATAGAAATATAAATATTTTTTTACTTTTTTATTGAATCAATATTTAATTTTTAAAAAAAATTAAAAACCTAACCAAAGGCAGCGAAAATCTCTAAAATTTAAATAGAATGTTGCTTGTTATAATCGTAATTCTTAGAAAATATTTATTTATATATGAAGATAAAAAAAAAAAAGAATTAATTTAATCTCAAATTATATTGTGATCAACCGGTTCAATTCATTCAATATTATGAGTCTAGATTTTGTTTGGTATTTTTTTTAATAAACGGTTAAAATATAAAGTGATGAGACTAAATTTTATTTTTTTTCAATTCATTTGAAATTATGAGTATAGATTTTGTTTGGCATTTTTTTTAATAAACGGTTAAAATATAAAGTGATGAGACTAAATTTTATTTTTTTATTTTTTGTAATAATTTATTTTTTAAGTTAATTTTATCTTTTCAAGTAATATGTAAAAATATAAAAATCCCATATAAAGAGTTTGCTCCCTTTGATGACTTTTTTTTTTTTTTTTTTTTTTTTTTTTAACATTCAAAAAAATATTAAGCAGAAAAGGAAGCAAGGGTATTCCATGGTATTCCATTCAATCCAATAAACATTCAATCCAATAGTTCTGAGATAACCTAATTGGCTTCTTTATGCCACTTGGGACATATAATAAGTAGACAGTAAGCAAAAAAGGATGCAAGGAAAAAAAAAAAAAAGGTCTAAATCAGTACCTACCAAACAAGGCTTTATTTATCTTTATTTTTTAAAAAGTGAAGTATCAATAAATCTCAAAAAATAATTTTGTGAATGGTTTAGTCCTCCCTATTTTCTTATGAACCCAAATGTGTCATTAAAGTGAAAATTACATAAAAGAATAGTCACTTACACGTTTGGATTTAATTTTCGAGAGATAAAAACGGATTTCTCCAATCAACACTATAGAAGTTTTGGATTTTCTCTCTTTCTAGAACAAATCTCATATCACGAATAAGAACGTAACACTCCAATAATGTAACACTCCAATGTAACAAACTAAAAAATTTCTTAGTATAATTTTTTTAACAGTGGCGATACAGACCCCCTAAAAAACAAACCCCCTCGACCCCCTCTGAGGTGGCACCTGCTGAAGTCATGTGAAGAAGAATTGCACAATGAAGAAGGTGTGATACACGCACCTGAAAGACAAAAAAAATATACTGAAAACAAAGACCAAAAAAAAAAGCGGGAACAGCCATAGCTCTCCTTCTTCCCCATCCTTGTTCGTCTTCCCTCTTCCCTCTTCCCTCTTCCCTCTTCCATCGTGCGTCCACCATAGCTCTCCTCTGTCGACCATAGCTCTCCAGCCATAACTCTCTGTATCTCGCTCTACGGATCTTCGATCGCATTCCGATAACATTTTGTCAGGTAATGTTACTTGAAAACCCCTCATTCTCCCTCTCCCTCTCTATCTACATACATTGATCAATCTCTGTGAAATTGAAATTGAAATTGAAAATGAAACAAATAATGTACACATAATATCTATATCACTACACATCTTATTATCAGCTAAAATGAAACTAATTTGAATGTTGAAATGTCTGTATTTTTTATTAGTTTCATAATGTCTGTCTTATGAAACTAAGTCATAATGAAACATCTGTGATGATTGAAATACAATATTTGTCTTGATAATAATTTTAGACAGACTAATGTCTGTATTTTATAAGATGAAATACAGTGGCGATACAGACCTAATGTTTGTATTTCTTGATAATAATTGAAATACAGTGGCGATACAGACCTAATGTCTGTATTTCTTAGTTTCATAATGAAACTAATTTGAATGTTGAAATGTATGAAACTAATGTTTGTATTTCAACATCTGTGGCAATACAGACATTTCAACAGCTAAAACTAATAAAAAAAATACAGACATTTCAATTTTATTATCAGCTAACTATAGCTCATAGAGCACAACATTTTGGAGATGATGGGCAATTGCTAAACTTTGCAATTGAATGTTCTCGAGCGGGGCAGAGAAGAAAGACATCATAAGTCAACCCTCTGAAGCCATGTTTGTCCACAAAAATTGGTTGCACAGCAAGGGTACAAGGTAGTGTACAAATGGATAGGAGATATAAACTAACCATAGTTAACCTTGAGCATAATCATGATTTGATTCCCACTGACTCTCGTCATTTTGCAATGAATAAGAAAATTCGTACTCCTGTGAAGAGAAGATTAGAAATCAATGATCAAGCAGGGATTGGGGTATCTAGGAACTATCATTCAATGGTTATTGAAGCGGGAGAATACGAGTCATTGACATTTGATAAGCGAGATGCAAGAAATTACATTAATAGAGCTAGAAGATTAAGGCTTGGTGAAGGTGATGCCGAAACACTTCAAAGTTATTTTATGAGGATGCAAGCACATAGTGAGAAATTCTTTTATGTGATTGATGTTGATGAGGAGTTTCGCATTAGAAACTTGTTTTGGGCTGATGCAAGGAGTCGGGCTATTTATGAATCATTTGGAGATGTTGTTTCATTTGACACAACTTATCTGACGAACAAATATGGCATGCCATTTGCTCCATTTGTAAGAGTCAATCAACATGGACAGTCTATTTTGCATGGTTGTGGATTGTTATCTAGTGAAGACACCGACACATTTGTTTGGCTATTCAAGTCGTGGTTAAGTTGCATGTCAAATAATCCTCCAAAAGCTATCATAACTGATCAATGCAGAGCTATGCAAAATGCTATAGAAATTGTCTTTCCACAGGCCCGGCATCGATGGTGCTTATGGCATGTAATGAAGAAAATACCGGAGAAGTTGAAAGGATATGCTCAGTATGAACCCATAAAGTTGGCTATGCAAAATGCAATTTATGATTGTTTGACAAGAGATGAATTTGAGGAAAAATAGAAATAGATGCTTACTAAATTCAATCTTTATGATAATGAGTGGTTGGGGGTACTATATCATGAGTGGCATCGATGGGTTCCTGTATATGTCAAAGACATTTTTTGGGCTGGCATGTCAACAACACAACGAAGTGAAAGCATGTGTAATAACCCTCATCACTGCTTACCGATAAACATTGATTACCGTCAAACTGAACTGATTATGACTGATAATTGAACTGATTAAAGTACTGAACTGACTGACTGAAAACTGGAACTGAACTGACTGAGTATATGTGTTAATCTGTATTCTATGTGTTTGATTGTTTACTTGATCTGTTCACGTTTTATGTTTAAACTGCTAATTGAAGGCCTTATCGGCAGCCAAACCGAGAATTGATTGATGTTTTATGATCCTCATAATTAATGTGATCTTACGGTGTATTTATCTGAAAACTGATTAGGTATGATTAAATCAGATTAAATATTGATCAATTGCTTAAGTTTGACTTAATTACCATTAGACCACTTAGTGGCCACTACCTCCCACATGTTGAGCCTTGTACACACTTAAATCAAAACATTTGCTTAGCCTTCCTCCTTGCCATAGCCGACCAAGAGAGAAGAGAGGGAGAAAGTGAGAGAAATTGGATTCATCTTGAAGAATTGCTTGGTAATTGAAGTGTAGATTGCTATTTGAGCTCCTAAATCTTGAATACAAGACCTATTTCTTGCTAATTACTCTCTTGTTTGTGAATTGAGCTAGTTCTTGCATGAGTCATGCTTCATTGTAGAACTAAGTCATGTTTTGGTTCATTGTTGTCGAATTGAAGCTCAATCCTTGCATGCATGGTTGTATTGTAGATGTTGAGTTGCTTTCATGGCAAAAGGGTACTTGCATGTTCACAATTATGTTTAAATCCATGATTTCATCATGTTTTGGAAACAATTGGCTCCTTAGAGCATCAAATTGAAGCTTTGAATTGATTTGAATTCATGCATGTTTGCATGTTCATCCTGTTCTTGAAAATGGTTTGAAATTGGGTTTGAATTAAACACCCTTGGGCTTTGATTTCTCAAAGTTGAGTTTTGAATCATGTTTAACTATGTGTTTACAAATGTTTTCTGGAAATTCAGCCCAAGAGGTCGAGTTTTGAGTTGTTAAAACTTGGTTTTTGGCTTGGAGGTGCAATCTGGGTTTTCCAGATTTTGCACTTCCGCTCGAGCGGGGATTAGTGACGC